TTCACTCTAGTAGTTCATATAATTGTACCTCACTTATACTTCACTGTAACAGTCCATTGGGTTGTAACTCACATATTCCTCTCTAGCAGTCCATTGCATTATGCCTCATTCATACTTCGCTCTAGCAGTCCATTGGGTTGTACCTCACTTATTCCTCAATCTAGCAGTCCATTGGGTTGTACCTCACTTATATTTCACTCTAGTAGTTCATAAAATTGTACCTCACTTTTACTTCACTCTAGCAGTCCATTGGGTTGTACCTCACTTATACTTCACTATAGCAGTCCATTGGGTTGTACCTCACTTATCCATCACTCTAGTAGTTCATTTCGTTGTACCTCACTTTTATTTCACTCTAGTGGTTCATTTCGTTGTACCTCACTTATTTCTCACTCTAGTAGTCCATAGAATTGTAGCTCACTTATACTTCACTCTAGTAGTTCATGGAATTGTACCTCACTTATTCTTCACTCCAGCAGTCCATTGGGTTGTACCTCACTTATACTTCACTCTAGTAGTTCATAGAATTGTACCTCACTTATAATTTACTCTAGCAGTCCATTGGGTTGTACCTCACTTATACTTCACTCTAGCAGTCCATTGGGTTGTACCACACTTATACTTCACTCTAGTAGTCCATATAATTGTACCTCACTTATACTTCACTCTAGCAGTCCATTGGGTTGTACCTCACTCTAGCAGTTCATTGGGTTGTACCTCACTTATTCCTCACTCTAGTAGTCCATAGAATTGTACCTCACTTTTACTTCACTCTAGCAGTCCATAGAATTGTAGCTCACTTATACTTCACTCTAGTAGTCCATTGGGTTGTACCTCACTTATACTTCACTATTGCAGTCCTGTTGAGTAATAAAACGGTATTGCATCAAATTTTATTCATTTATGCTATAGGTTTAGGGAAGGTGTGTCAGACGACGCCCCACCCCCGTCCAGTGCTGAAAACAAATCTCCTCGGCCACGTCATAAGAAGATTAAATAGCAGTAGAGTAGCCCCCCCCCCACCGTAACCAAATGTCTGAATCCGTCAGTGCATTTATTATTTGCTTCTGATTTTCGAATATCTTTGCAAAAGGGTATTTCGAGGTAAAAAGGTGATAGTGACACGCTGTGTTTAATATCATGATTGGAATTACTGCTCACATTTTCCTTTCCCTATTGTGATGTTTATTGTGTTACAAGCATTTAACGCACCAATACAATCAGATTAGTGTCAATCAGTCTATAAAAGTCTGGCCAAAAGCTTCAATTTTAATTAACAAACTGACCTAAATAACATCCTGCTGAGAATTGCACGTGTGCACATCCGTCGTCCAAGTGCATTATGTGTTGTTCACCGATTATCGATGTCACATGTGCTGTCGAACTATTTTAAGGTATTAACAGTTTAAATGAAACAATCTGATTTGAGTACAATGAGTTTGATGACACCAGCCACCAGTAACCGGTCGCAATGATGTCACTTCTGATGTGCGTTCCCTTAAACCACGTTATAGTAATGTGGTTGATAACTTATGCAATTAAATGTAGATACGTACAGAATCATAAAAGTAATGACGACGTAAATTTACTTTTAGAC